TATGACCATTTGTTGAGATGCCCTTTTCCCATCCTTCAAGTGCTCTTCGCATAATACACTCCCCATATGTTGAATAATTGTGGAGATAGTATACATCCTTGTCTGACACCCCGTTCTGGATGAAATTCGTTCGAAAGTGTGTCAAGTACTTTAACTGATCCAGTAGTGTGTTCATATAGTTCGGTTATAAGCGTAATTAGATGTTGTGGTACGCCTACTTCTTTTAGTATTCGCCATAAGTGTCTCCACTTGACCCTGTCGAACGCTTTACGGTAATCTATAAAACAGATGTATAGTGGGATGTTGAATTCCCTAGACTTCTCGATTATCTGTCTTATATTCAGCAGGTGTTCTCGAGTGCCTCTACCTTTGGTAAATCCAGTTTGCTCTTGTGGAATTTCTCTTTGAAGGAATGTAGCATTATCTTGCTGGCATGGGATATAAGGGAGATAGTTCTATAATTGTCGCATTTATGGAAGCTGCCTTTTTTATGTATGGTCGTTATTGTAGATTTTGTCCAGTCTTCAGACCATTGTTTGGAATGCCATATTTGGTTACAGAGTAGATGAAGTAACTTTACGCCGGTTTCTTCTGTGGCTTTAAGCATTTCTGCTGTTATCATATCTGGACCTGGAAATATGTTGCAGCAAATGGCTGATAGCTTCTGGTAAGTCGATGGATGGCTTCTTGAACTTGAAATTCATATAGCTATTTGTTGTTTTGCACATGAGAATACTTGACTATAAATTTCAGGACATTTCTCCTTACAGTAACCTGATTCTAAATGGTAAGTAGGAAACATTATTTCGGGAAACGTTTTTCTTAATATCAACCAATAATTGGACACAATATTCTCTGCATAGTCCTAGTTGTCTTTATTGGATTGAATTTTAGTTAAGATATTTTGACAAGGATTTTCAATATGGAATTCAAAACAATAAAAATAACACATTTTAAATTAAAATTGTAATCTATTTCCGTTAAACATTAATTAATGATCAAAATAAATTGAAAATTGTAAGCGGTTTGATAATTTTTATGTAGGATTTTATGTGGACTGTTTAGTTGATGTTTTCTATACGTCACTGCATTGTCGTACCCCCACGAATGAAGTTACTCAAATATAGACATGAATGTGAGATTTGATTTTGGTATGTGTGGAAGAGTAGATTTATCATTTTCAAGATTTTTATTCTTCAAATGAAGTAGATTGATGGACAGGTAGGTTCGTTTTTTATCTATTTGTGTGAGGTTCGAGCATATTTTGAAATATCTAGTAATCTAAATGGGCTTTTAACTACTTGAAACCCTAATAAATGGTCGTTACTGGTCGTACTGTTCAATGGTTTAAAAAGAGTCGACTACAACAGCAGGAATTCCTTTAATTCATGTCATTTTTAACAAAATGTGAGTAATTTTTCAGGTATATGAGATTATTATTCGGAATTTTTTTATCGAAGCATTAGGACAGAAAATGCAGGTGATGCTATTATTAAGAAAAGGTGAATATGAAAGAAATTTCATCAAAAAAGAATGGTTTCAAACACCGTATCAATGTAATACTGTTACTTTGAGCTCTACAGTCCTCCAAGGAGGATAGACTGGGTCGTGAAGTCCTCATTCTTTGACAGGGCACGTCCAAAGTTCAATAAAGAACGTTTTGCGGATATATAGGACCATAAGAGAAGTTTAAATAAGATATACCCAAATAAACACCCACGGATCAACTGAAATCGTGACACAGGGACTGCAACTATGGCATTTGCTGCAGATGTGTTGATTGAACATGACACATACACACACATAAACACAAGATAATAAGTTTTATTATTAGCGGAAATCGTTGTACTGTGAGACGGTTTTGAAACAAAGATTTTTATTATTACTTATGCATCATTTATAATAGGTAATACTGACTTAAAGCCCAGGTTTTACGGAATAGAGTCAGACTCATCCTTAGAACTAGAGGTCTCTATAATTTTGTCTTTGTTTTTCTTTTTGAATTTATTTTTGTTCTCCTTCCTATCAGGAAACAGTTGTTTAGGAGGGACAGTACTTCTTTTCTTTTTATTTTTGATATCTTCCATCTTCTTTTTTCTTTTTTCCAGCGTGTCTATCAGTATTCTGCATCTGCCAGGTTGCCTTCCTATTGTGGTCTTCTTTCTCGCCTTACCTTTCGGTAATGGGCGAATCGTTTCGTGTGTCCTGATTTTAAATGTTTGGATGTTGATTGGATTTGTAGGTCACAGGTAGATGATGATGAATTTGATCACTCGCTTTAAAACGACTGGTAGAATCCAGTACATCATTTCTTGGTCCTTGAGTTTTTTCAATGCCTGTAGGTAGGCCTACCATTTGTATTTTCCAGAACTAGTTAACGATCAATTACATGGATGAAAGAAACTCGTTGTCAGTAAAAATGTTTCTGTCAAATGAAAATATTCCTGTCACCTGAAAACCTTTCTCAATATTTTCTATTGTAAATGTTTTGTTGTGAGCACTGCCAATTAATCCAGCAGCATCATATATCTGGATAGGTTTTGCAGAATTAGATAATATTCAGCCATTTATGGTACTGCTGTAGTATGTTTCATATAAGTCAAACACAGTTCGGTCTAACGGCTGAAGCTTGTGGGGTGTATGAGGTGGAAAGGTTAACTTCACCACGTCGTTTTCTTTAGCTACATCTAAAGCTTTAATCGAGATCTGTCATTTATGGTTGTCTAAACTTAGCAAGACAATTTTGTCTAGAGTAGGTGTCACATGCCTGATGAAGTGCTTTAAAAAAATCAACAAGACCACCCACTTGGATTTGCACCACCAATTGCACCATTTGAGGCTCCAATGAGCGTATGTTGTTTAAAATTAAAACGAGGATAAATCAGCATTGGTGGAACGCTGTTCCCAATAGCATTGATATATGCTATCATCCGTATAATAAATCCTCTTTCCCCTGAAGTGAAAGAACCGACCTGTTTTATTCCTTTTGTACATATAATTTTAGAGGGCATATGGGCTGTTGAATTACCTGTTTTATTAAGATTGTAGGTCTCGTTTGCTTGAAACTGATGTCTTTTCATTACTAGCTGTAATGGATTGAAAAATTTGTTCACATTGTCTTTGTTAAAGCTTCTTGACCTTGCAAGGCTCGTGGGCTTAGGTTTATGTAAGCTTAGGGTAGGGTGGCGGTTCCTAAAGCCACTTTACCAGAACACTTCAGCAGATTCCACGGTAACTCATTCTTTTGAAATGTTGGGTTTGCTATTTGCCTGCTCTGACAAGGCTTTCGTATACTGAAAGGCTAGTTTAAGTGTATTTGTTTGTAAGCCAGTAATGCAAGGCAGCTGATTGTATTGCTGAACAAACTATCATAAGCTCTTGTTTGTTTGAAAAAACATTTTTTCACAGCATTTTTTACTGTCATACAAAAAATTAGGTTGTTCTTCATTAGGGTCTAATGAAAGATATTTTTGATAGTGTCTACTCAATGTCGAATTTCTTATTTCATAGCAGCCTCATTAACCATTATACTCCCTTCAGGACATCGTTTACTGCACTTCATAAAGCCCATTGGTTGATCTTAACCTGCGTCTTGCCATCTGTGCTGCGAGGATAGTTCTAAAAAAAAACAAAACAAATTCGGCTACCTATAAAGTGTTTTACAAATAAACAACTCACAATAAACAATATTCCACTCAAAAATTACTGTTATCAATTAGGTACATTAGATAAAAATGCAGAACTTTGATGAGACCCGTAGTAACCTATGGTAGTGAACCCTGGGCAATGACGAAAAATGAGGAAGCCCAACTCTCGACATTCGAGAGAAACATACTGAGAAACATGGAGAATCAGGAGAAACGACGAGGTTAATGAACTGAATGAAGGGTATAACATTACAAGATTTGTGAAAAGTCAAAGATTGTCAGGGCTGGGACATATTCAGCGACAAGAAGACAAGAAAACGACAACAAAGATGTTACAGTGGAAGCCGGTAGTAAAGCGGAAAAAAGGAAGGCCCAGGACGAGATGGGTGGATGATTGGAAGACGACTTAAAAAACCATGAATACGAGACAATCGAAGAGAAAGGCCCAAGAGAGATCTAAATGGAAGGACATGGCCAGACAGCTTCCAGGTTTATGATGTCGAAAGAAGAAGAAAGATAAAAATATAACACTCCAGTACATAACAATTTAAGCTTTTTAATTCACTTAATTAAAAAAAATCAGTGTCAGTGAATCAGTGTTGTACCTTGGGTCCTAAGCTACAACCGTAGTTCAGTACCAAGGTACAACATAGTGCAGAAAACTAAAACATGCATTTTAAATGTATTTGAGGTTAGTTGTACACGATAAATGATTATAGCATTTAGTGGAGTACATCTCAGAGTATAATATATACTCTCAGTATAATACTGCCTTATGTTTATCCACAAAAAAGTAAAAGTAAAAATTAGCCCCTGGTGGCTAAGTGAAAAATTTTAATATGTTAGTTTGTTCTGTCACTTAGAGTAATGACAGAGTAATTAAGATCGTCCCAAGGTACAACTGTCCCAAATGTCACATTATGTAGTGTAGCTTCCCCTACTACAAAAGCCTCCTTTGGCACAAAATTGAAAGTAAAATCATTTTTGCAAACTTTAATAAATTTTTAACTTTTAACTTTAATAAATTTTAAAAACATTTTAATGAATTTGCAATAATTCTTTTGCTATTTGACCTATTATTATAGAACTTAAAACGATTTTTAGACAGTTATTACAAAGACTGTATAATATTCTCCTTTGTCTGTTCTATTATGGACAGAAATATTTAAAGACGTTTTAAAACGATATCAAATAACCTTATTTTAAAATGTAGTAAAATACCGGTTACAATACTACTTGATAAATATTTAATAATAAACAACAACAACTAATTATACTCGATGTTCGGTTTTCCCCTATCACCTACTTTACGCAAACTGTTTTTTAAATGTGTTTTGTATGTATATATATAACCGCCGAATACAATTTTTCAAGCGCAGTAATTAAAAAAAAGATTTCGTCAAGTTAATCGAGAAACATGTTGAAATTAGTGTTGACTTTTTGCATCATTGTTGTACTCTACGAAGCAGATGCTTGTACCCTTGCACCAGGAGGTAAGTTTAATATACATTTAGATAGTTTTATATTGGTGATACATTACAAAGTTATTTAATTATGCTGTGGTGACTAAGACCTCGTCTGCAAAATAGTTTTAATTCGACTGTTGTGACAAAATTTCACAGTCCAGATTGGGTATGGAGTCTGTTTTCTCAAGAGTGTGTATTCTACAATAAAGTCGTCCAAGAAACGAACGAAAAAGATTGCCAATATGATTTTAAAGCGATTATCTTAATTTATTCTGGCTTTACAACCTTGCATGAGTGGTAGTTTTCTCTCCAGTCGTCCCTGTCCCTCGCCTTCCTTCACCAACCACGGACCCACATTTCTCATATCTTAATCGATATTATTCTGTTAGCCTCTATTTCTATTAGCTTGTATTCGGGTCTCCATTCCTAATTTCAGCTAACAGAAATAGAGGTCAACCCCCAACCAGATGGACAGATGACATAAAAAGAGTGACTACAAATTGGATTCAGATGGCGCAAAATCGGATTAAGTGGAAAAGCATGCGAGACGCCTATGTTCAGCAGTGGACGTTAGAGGCTAGTTGATGAATCGATATTATTAAGGGATGTTATTCTTATGCTGCGTTTCCCTCTTTTCCTCTTATCAATTGGTCTATCAAGGAGGGCTTTTCTCGCTGGATAGTTTTTTCATCTGAATTAACCACAACCACCTTAGAAGTCTTATGTTAATGTATTTTACGATACCTCGTTCTTGGTATATTTTATAAAATTTGTTGAAGTTGAAGTTGTATCTTTTTCTCCACATAGCATTGTCATACATCGCTACAGAGATTCACCTTAGTACTTTTCTTTCGAAACACCTAACAAGTTTTCATTACTTTTTGTTAGAGTCTAGGTCTCTATACCATATGTTAAGACTGGTATTGTTTCGTAGGGTTTTACCTTTGTATTTTTCGATATAATTGAGGATTTCTTCTTCTTCTTCTTCTTCTTCTTCTTCTTTTTTATAAGCAAAATGCTTGTTCAATGTCGATTATTGCCTCTATTGGAGGTTATCACTCCATCTTTTGCGTGGTCGCCCGATACTTCTTCTACCTTTGGTGATTTGTCCCTCGCTATTCTGACTAATCGGGTCTCTTCCATTCTGTTTATATGTTCGTTCCATTCCTTTTTTCTGTTCAGTGTCCACTCATTTATTTCTGGTATATTGCATTTTCTTCTGATCTCTTCACTCCTCATTCGATCCCTCAGTGTGTTTCCTGTAATTCTCCTCAGTAAACGCATCTCCGCTGTTTCTAGTAGTTGCTGAGTTTTGGAGGTATCCGGTCTTGTCTCTGAAGTGTATGTCATTATTGGTCTTATTGTTGCTTTGTAGATTCTTGATTTCACGTCGGTATTAATGTGGGGATTGCGCCATATCGTGTTATTAAGACAACCTGCTATTTTATTAGCCTTTTGTACTTGATTTTTCACTTCCTTCTCCACATCTCTGTAGCTAGACAGTGTAATTCCTAGGTAATTTGTCTTAATTACTTAGGATGGAGAAATTAAGGATTTAAGAAGGAAATTCATTCCAAAATAGCATCTGTGAGCCGTGTAAATTCTGCGGTTTACCTCTTCGATAGTGTTATTTTCAGTATTGATTATAGCTTTCAGATACACGAATTCGTTCACTGCTTCGATGACTTCGTTTTCTATAACAAGTGGCTTTTCTATACCAAGATCAAGTGCTTATTTGAATGTACAACTTCGTTTTCTTGGTCTTCTACTTTAAAATGTATAAAATCTGTCTCAATTGTCAGTATGAATGATGAAGATAAAATTAAATTATCAGAAGAACTTTTTTATTACCTAGTAACATAATGATCGGGCCATAGAGTTAGGTGTCTACGTTAAAAAAAAAAAGATGACGTGCACACTACCCTCCATGCTATGGCATGCTAGACGAACATACAGTCTGTAGTCACCACCCCAAGGTATGAGCGGGAACACAAAGTGTATTAATACTTATACGCTTATGAAACGCACCTGGCGCATCATAAAGGCCTCCACATTTTATTCTTTTTCGACTTGTCTTGAGTAAAATGTCTTCAATCTTTCCTATCAGCCTTTCTTGGCTAACTCTTGTCTCTTCCGACCCTTAATGGCTATTAGGTTTCCGAATGCAGACAGGTCACTATATTTCTCTCCAAAATTGGATGAACCTATTAGTGGTCAGCGGCATGAGGATGTCGAAGACAACGGGAAACCATTACATTAAATATCATCAGATTTCCCTTGAACAATAACCATGCAAAGTGCGGTCAATCACATGGCCCCTAGTCCACGGCGGACCTTTAATAGTCGAGGGGTATTAAGAATCTCCGTGAGGTGGAGCTACCCGAATGTGGCAAATAACTATATAGAGAACAAATCCTTTTTAAATTTCTTGACATGGAATGTGAGGAGTTTGTTCGAACAAGGAAAGACGCACGACACCATTCAGGAAATGAACAGACTGAAACTAGAAATGTTAGACATGAGCGAAAAGCGCTGGCCTAGTTCTGGTAAAACATTGGTCATGGTTTAAACCGATATACTACTCCGGAAATAACACCCGAGATCATCTATATGGAGTTGGAATAGTTATCTCCAAGATAATCCAAGCAGCCGTTGTAAATTTTGTTCCCTTTTCGGATAGAATTCAATTATTACAAATACAGGATAGCCAGTGAACATTAATGTAGTACAAGTGTTTCCTCCAACTGCAGATAAATCAGAAGCTGAAATAGAACATTTTTATGAACAACTCAAACAACTTCTCCAATACACAAGAAAGGATGAAATTACTATAATAATGGGTGATTTAAATGCAAAGATAGGAAAAGGCCAAGTCGACAATATAATAGGTGATTATGGTTTAGGAATAAGGAATGCTAGAAGCGACAGATTGGCCCAATTATGAACACATGGTTTCGATTACCACCTCGTAAACTGTATACCTAGAAGTCACCACAGGATAATGACCAAAATTGCATTAGAAATCAGATCGACTTTATTCTAACTAATGAACAAAATTTGATTAGAAATCAGATCGACTTTTCTAACCAATCTAAAATTTAGAAATTCCATTGTAAGCGTTAAGACTTTTCCTAGAGCAGATGTCCCTCAGACCATAACCTCCTTGTCTCAAAAATGAAACTGAGGGTAAAAAAGATAATAAAATCCAAAAGTTCTAAGGTGAATACTCAGTTACTCAAGATGAAAGAATGAAATAATCATGAGGATTCAAATTGTATCAATCAAGAAATAGAGAAATTAACAACAGAAATGAAAAACACTGAGAATGTGAAAAACTATTTTAAAGAAAAATTGTGGCTTGTTCCCAATAAAAATAGTAAATGATTTTAGGAGTTTTATTCTATTTTTTGTTTTAAGTTTTTTAATATTTATGCTGTTACTACGTCGTTGTTTAATGTGTTATCTTTGTTTAAATATCTGATTGCTTCAAGTAGATCTATTGCCCTTCTCTGTGTAATGTTTTGTGTTCCTCTTTTTTCTGCATTGTTCATGTTCATATTCATCGTTTTTCTCTGTCAAGTGATATAATTGCTTATATTTTATTTATAATAGACATTTTTCTTTATAGGAATAAAATGCCTTGAGTGCACAAGACCTAACGAGTTCTACAGCTGCGGAAGTGCTTGTCAAACAACCTGCCGCAATCTAGGAAAACCATGTCCCATAATAAACATCAGGTGTAACGATGCTTGTTATTGCATAAATGGCTACGCTAGAAACGATAGAGGAATCTGCATTCCTATCAAAAATTGCCCTAGATACTAATAGTTGCTTATACAGAGATTATATTATTTTCAATTGTTTTTACGTGTGAACCAAAAACAGAAATCTTCTAAAAAATATTAAATATTTGTTATTAAATGTAAAAAATGCGCTGAATTTTTTTGTATCAAAACTTGTTTAAAATAAACAATTTATGTAAACTATAAGAACTTTTATTTTGTTATTTCTCAGTGAATTTATGGCTATCTCTATTTCCTGAAAACTGATTTCTATTTCCTGTCTTAATTCAGGTCATCATCATCATCCAGCCTCAAGAGTCCACTGCTGAACATAGGCCATCTTCCTCATGTTTCCAACCCCGTCTATCTTGCGCCGCTCTTATCCAGTTTTTATTGAGTCTTCTTAAATCGTCAGTCCATCTTGTAGGTGGTCGACCGACGCTTCTCTTGTCTTCCCTTGGCCTCCATTCCAATAACCTCTTTGTCCATCGCCCATCTGTCATTCTGGCTATGTGTCCTGCCCATCTCCATTTTAGTCTGGCTATCTTCTCGATGATGTCAGTCACTCCGGTTCTTCTCCTGATGTCTTCGTTTGTTATTCTGTCTCGGAGAGTTATTCCTAACATGGACCGCTCCATTCTTCTCTGCGTGACTCTCAGTTTGGTAGCTGCTGCTTTTGTTCAGGTAAGTGTTTCTGCTCCGTACGTCAAGACTGGGAGGACGCACTGATCAAATACCTTTCTCTTTAGGCATGTGGGCAGCTCACTTTTAAAAGTTTCTCTCAGTTTTCCAAATGCTGCCCACCCAAGGCCGACTCTTCTCTTCAGTTCATGAGTCTGGTTATCTCTGCCAATCATAATTTCATGTCCCAGGTATTTATATCTATCTACGAGTTCTATTTCTTTCCCACCAATACTGATGTTCTGGTTGGGCACCAAATTGGTCATGATTTTTGTTTTCGAGATATTTATATTTAAACCTACATTTTCTGTAGCCACAACGAGTTCCTGTACCATCTCTCTTGCCATACCTAGATCTTCAGCTATTATAAGTATATCATCGGCGAAACGTAAGTTGTTTAGATATTCTCCATCTATTTTTATTCCCTTTGTCATCCAATCCAAATTCTTAAAAGCATGTTCTAGCACCGTATTAAAAAGTTTAGGTGACATTGGGTCTCCTTGTCTAACCCCCCGTTATATTTTTATGCGATTACTGTTAGTATGTAATTTGACAGTGGTTGTTGCCTGCAGGTATATTTTATACCTTTTTCTTGTACCTTATTTTGTACCTTAATTCAGGTACATTGTGTTGATTATTATTTTCCTTTCCTTTAAACAATTTCGTCAAGTATCTTTCCCATTCGTTTGTTGGTATGCTATTGTATTCCTTCAATTCTGCCATTTCTTTCCGTTGGTTTCTTATGAATCTCCATATTTGTTTTTATGTACTGTAGAAGTCGCTTTCCATCCTTTTTGTAAACTGTTCCCAGTGTTCATTTTTTGTTCTTCTTACAGCTGCTTTGGTTCATTTCGTATTCTTCTATAGGTGTCTCGGATTCTGGAGTATTTGATGTTTTGTACTTCGTGTAGGCCTCTCGTTTTTCTTTACATTTCTCTTTATTTCTTTTCTGAAACTATGGTGTATTGTTGTTTGTTTTGTTTAGTATGACTTTGCGTTTTCCTAGAGCTTCTGCTGCTGCTTCTTCAATGTTGTTTTTAATTTTCTTCCAGCTCGCGTTTATATCTTCAATGTCGTCTATTTGTTTTAGCTGTATCTTCTGTGCTAGCCTCCTTTGGTACATTTCTCTTATAGAGTTGTTCCACAGTGATTCTACATTGAATTTTTCCTCGGTGATTTCCTGTGGAAAATGTTTTGGTGTTATTTTCGTTCTTATTTTTGCTAGTTTGTGTTCACTCCCTGCGTCTGCTGAGTTTAAAGTTCGGATATCTAGAATCTGCTTTGTGTGGATTTTTCTATTAGTGACTATACAAAATCAATCATAGATTTGAGGCCCCTGGAGATTTTAAATGTATATTTATACTGGAGCTTATGGTCGAAAAATGTATTATTGATTCTCGGTTCGTTAAAAGCACTAATCTCTGTGCTTTTACCATGAGTTAAATTCATGAGTTCTCCATTTGCATTGATATGGTTTTCATTAAATCTTTGTTTTACTCCTGGAACCATTTAATTTCCGATTCGTACATTTAAGTCAACCATAAGAATTAAGGGTTCTTCATGAGCTATTTCATCCAAGAAGGTTTGCAATTGTTCGTAGAATGCCTTTCGTTCCTCCTTAGGTTTTCAGTCCTCGGGACTATAGGTAAATATGACATTTAATTTTTGGTAGTCCATTGTGATGTTCATATGTATTATTTTTTCGGAGATATAACGGCAGTTATTTATGTTGTATTTAATTTTTTTATGGACAAGCATACCTACGCCTGCTCGTGCTCATTCTTCTTTCTTCACTCCACTGTATGCTAGAAAATATTGGTTATAATCTCTTTGGTCTTTACCTTTCTTCTTGGTTTCTTGGATTGCACAAATGTCTATGTTTTTATTTATCAGTTCTTCTTTATTTTTTGGTCTTTGTTGTTGAAAGAAATAATGTTCCATGTTGCTAATCTGGTTGTAGGCTTATTTTCTTTCGTTTTCCTTTTCTTTGTGTGGTTCGTCATCTTAGGTTCCGTCTGGCTCCGAGGCTTTATAGAGTTTCTTTGAGCCTTGTTTTCTTTTACAATGGGTAGGATGCTAACCTGGCTCATCAACCTTCCTCTTTTATCCGGACTTGGGACCAGCTGTGGGCATGAACGCGGCTTCTGATCTACTCAATTCACCCAGTCCTTGCGCTCATAACCCCAGGCAGAGTTAGTTTAATTTTTACAGTTGCAAAAAAGACTGCGGCAACTCATGTGGCGTGAATGTAGAAAAAAATGGCTTGGTATGCAATTTGGCACGTTAAAAAATTGTACTGTACCAATTGCACGAATATGGAGAACTATGAAGAAAATCAATTATCTGATACAAAAGAAGATGAGGAACAAATAAATTTGAATAATACGATTATCTTTGTAAAACTTCATTTTTTACTTAATAAAAAAATTGTTTTTTACTTAATAAAAAAACATAAAACTGCAGGAAACGGGGTGTTCCCTCAGCATAAAATAGCTTGAGGATCATCGCCGTCATAATATTCGTGTTCGGCGATCTTGAAAACCCGCGAGTAAAGACTTTTGACTGATTCCGAATGAAAAAAACATAAAACTCCAGGAGATGAGATCCACTCTGTGTACTAGGTAGCTCGAAGACCATCGTCGTTGTCATTCGTATCCAAAGAAATCGAAAATCCCAGAGTAACAAAATTGAATTTATTAGTGTCAATATTATCTGAGTTGCAAAATTTTCATTTTCTATGCACTTTGGAAACGCATTTTTCTTATCCAGAAAATGAAATTTTCAGTTTACCACCATGTTGTTGGTTCACAAACTTTCCTGATACTTTACTGAATCGAATGCAAAATGTTGCACAGCGATTCATCTTGCTGGCTGCAGAAAATCGGTAGGCTGGTTGCTTCGTTGCCTGACCTAAGTGCTAGTATATTCATAATTACTTTATTGTTTTTATTTTAGCTTTGTAAGGATTTCTTTACTTATCAATGTTTTTATTTTATACTAATTTATATTTAGAACGATGTTCTTTCACGAATTTATATGCATATTAGCCGGTTATCGCTAACATTTTCGTACAAAAATAAACGTACAGAATTGCATTATAATAATTTTAAATAAGTTTTTTAAATGCGTAAGCATTTTAAATGATAATAATCTATATATGTTTATTAGTAATAATTTAAATGTTTTTCAAGGGAATGATCTACATTTGTAGTCAAGTAGAGTAATTATAAATATTGTTATAAATGTAAAGATTACTGTAACAGAAATATATATGAATATTATTTAAAATAGGGAGAAATAATTTAACCTGTTAGTTGAATTGACAAACTTAAGTTCCAAGACTATCTGTCATGTGAGAGGAGATCCGAATTGCTCGTCCTACTCTTGCTCTAAGATCATCGCAATTTGCGGAGCTTCCGGAGTCCTGGTGAAGTAAGATCCAAACCATTAGTCATCTTCTCTTCATCTTTCCAGGTGAAAAAACCATTTCAGCTCTCTGCTCTTTATTCTATTTGAATTTTTTTCTGTTTCTATGAAACCAACTCACGATGTCTCGTTCCATAACATTTAAGCATACTACAGCAATTTTTTCTTAGTTGACCTGTGTGTCTCGCTACACCATCTAATTAAAGCCACTTAATCCTACTCACTTCTTTTATAATCCAGGATAATGGTATCCGCATATCAGCCAAGAATATGCTTATTTACTTACTTACTTACTCCGTGGCGTTATAACCCTTCGTGGGTTTTAGCGGAGTCGACAACATGCCTCCACTGTTTTCTGTCTTGAGCACCTCCATCCAATTCTCCACGCCCTAGTGCTTAGGTCTCCTGCTATATTATCTCGCCACGGAGACGAGGACGTCCGCGTGGTCTCTTCCAGTTCAGAATCTCTTCCGAGGTGTTCTGCCCATTGGAAGTCTTCTGGACTTTATTTCTTTTATGATGTTGGCGTCTGGGTAGAGTTCTTCGAGCTCTTTGTTAGTTCTTATCCTATATTGTCCTGATGCTTCATTCAGCACAGGACCAAAGATCTTCCTTAGGATTTTTCTTTCCCAAACACATAGTTTCTCTTCGTTTTACTTTGTTATCGTCCACGTTTCGCTTCCATACATCACAACGGGTCGTATGATTGTTTTATAGACCTGTATCTTCGTACGTCTTGTTAGTTGTTTCGATTTTATAAGGTTTTGGAGGGCAAAAAGACATCTGTTGCCGGCCTGAATCCTGTTGTTTATTTCTTGTGATCCATTATTGTCCTCAGTTATTGTTGTTCCAAGATACTTGAATTCTCTAACGCGCTCAAAGTTAAAGTCATCGATGGTGATGTTCTGATCGATTCTGTCTCTGCTTTGGTTATTGCGGCTCATATACATATATTCCGTCTTGTTTTCGTTGATTTGGAGCCCCATCTTCTCTGCTTTCTTCTCGAACCTCACGAAAGTCTCCTTCATCCTTAATCGTGTGTTTCTATTAGATCGATATCGTTTGCAAATGCCAGTAGTAAGTTTGGTCCTTCTCGA